CCCTGTACCTTTCTGCAGGTTGCCCTGGCCCTGGAGCTCTATGTCTCTGACGAGCAGTCACCAGCCACATCGACCTGATCAGTGTTTGATTGTTGTGTCTTGTTGCTTTTCTTCTTTTGTCTCTCCTCTATCCACTCACCCCAACCGGTCGAGGCAGAAGGCCGCCCACCAAGAGCCGGGATTTGTCGGCGGTTTCTTCTGTTAAACGGAGCTTTTCCTCCCCCTGTCGCCCAGTGCTTGCTCAAGGGGGATTTGTTGGGTTTTCCCTATGTAATAATATTGATAACAGTAAGGTCTAGACCTTACTTTGTAAAGTGTCCTGAGATGACTTTTGTTGTGATTTGGCGCTATACAAATAAAATTTGATTTGATCTACAAAAACAAACAGGAAGCCATCAGAGAAAAGCCAACTCTATTTTATCCCAAGTTAACAAAAACACACTCCACATCACATCTCTTCTCCATGTGTACAGCTATTACTTCCCACCCCCATGTGAGGCTGTGGATCATCAGAGGAAGTCAAAGGAGTCAAATTAGTCACTCTGATGTTTTCTTACTTTTAAATACAACTGTACAATAATAACACAAAAGTTTTAGTCTATACTAAAGGCTAGGTAAGAATGAACCATTATTAAGAACAGATCATATCAAAAGAGCTAATGCTATTACCCCCTAATGTGAGTTCACCAGCTTGTGTTGCAAACAGCAGATAAAGTACTGATTACGTCTGCATTTTTCCAGATGTGCACGATGATTCCTTGTTTTACAGAATGTGTTCTAGCCAATAGGTCTGTTGAACTCAGAGTGGAACCATACATTTCATATTAATCTCCTCCTTCAGGGAGGTTTGCAGAACTGTTTATCATTTCATGATAAAGGTCTTTTCATGTTCCGCTTGCAAACATTTTTTTTAACGCAACATCAGTTGAAACAAAAGCTAACACATCACAATCTCATTTAATGCAAAAAAGATGCACTGACTACCTGGCTAACACACAATAATGGGACATCAAAACAGTCTTTAGTTTTGTGTCACTTTAACTTACAAATTAATTTAAGTCCTGTCACTTTTAAGCTTTTTAAAAAATGCAAATCACTGACAAACTACTGTCAAAGCAGAGTTCATCTATGCTCCTGGAAATGAAGACAGACATTTGGCATAAAAAGGATGATGCAACAAGCTTTTCTTTTCTGGTTTCCCTCCATGATTGGAAATATATAATTTACTAAGTTAGTAAATCAGCAGCTTTGTCAGGTAGAGAATATGTTCATTTTTTTCCACTGAGTAAATGACACCTCAAATGACCTTGCATCTCCCTAGCCTGGCCAGATGGTGCGATTGATTGGCTTTCTGTCATTTGGGGGAAAAAGGAATGATTGGAATGTGAAGTCACTCCATAAAAGCTGCACTCTGCTAGGACTGCTTAAAATTGTAAAAAAAAAAAAAAAAAAAAAAAAAAACCCGCGAAAAGGGC